TCACTCATCCCTGATGCTAAAGTCATACACACCATCATGGTGTCTCATGATAAATACCATGGAAAACTATAGCCAATCATTTTCTTCTTCTTTTCTTTTTCTATCGTTGCAGTTACACCATTATTGTTGGTATGGAAGGAGATAATGGTTAGGTGGAGGGAAACTTTCCCCCCATATCTCATGGTCTAACAGTTGAAAAGCTTTTCATGATCTAAACTTCCATTTCACAACACTTGCCTCAATTCTTTGTTTGAAACCGGTCCTAGACAGAACTTCAAAATAATGACATTCGTTCTATCACTATTACCCACTCAACGTAGTTTCAAGAGAGAAAGCTAAAAATGATATCTGTTAAAATCATTTTTCATTCACTTATTCTACACAGAATCGCTAAATCACACAAACTCATTACTAATTCCACATTCGTCCTTTCAATGTTATCATAAGGATTGAAACTTTTACAAACTTTCCACAGGCATACAATCATTAAATGGAATACTGTTTGATGAAGTCTTTGATTATCTCCATCAATTCCTTGGATACTTGTGAATCTGGATCTATGGTGAAAAACCCATGTTGCTGACCTTCGAATTCTGCATACTCCACCTTTTTTCCCAACTTCTTCAATCTTTCTGCGTAGTCTTTAGCTCTGTCCTTCAATAGGTCAGCACCCCCACAAACCACCAACATTGGGTCCAACTCCACCGGTTCAAGATCCAAGCTAACGGGTCCAAACGGGTTCACTAGAGGATGGTCCATTGTGTCCCCAACCGGAATCGATAACCTCCAAAACCTAACCAACAAACACATCAACCGGTTCAAAACACCGATGATAATCATAATCATACATTTGAGAACAAAAAGGGTGTAAAGTGTAAATTCAACCTATCGATGAGTTCCCAATTCAAGAAAGCGTCTTTAGGACCATGAGCCTCGGATTCCGTTAACTGGGTCCCACCAAAAAAGGGTGCCAAGAGTACATAGCCTTTAACCTGAACCGGTTCCAAGCTCTTGGAACCAGCCCTCAACCGAACCGCCATATTATGAGCAATGTTACCACCAGCAGAGTCACCGGAGATGAAGACACGTGTAAAGTCTGCCGAGTCAACCAGCCATGGGTCCGGCTCAGCTGCCACCGCCTGCGATTGGAGCCATTTCACGGAAGTGAACCCATCCTCCACCGCCAACGGAAGCCGGTTCTCAGGGGCTAACCGGTAATCAGGAGCCACAATTACAGCTTGTAAAGCCAGAGCCAGTTTAAAACAGTAGTTCTGACAGTTTGGCCATGTTCGTGACCCAATGCAGAAACCACCGCCGTGGATGTAGTAAAACACCGGTAGCTTTTTGGCCACGGCGGAAGCCGGTTTGTAAAGACGGAGGTGGAGGTTGTTTTGTTGATCAAACTGCACGTCTTTCCAGAGCACTGAACCATCGTCAACCACAGAGACTCGAAAGCTCGGTTCAGTTGATCGCCATATTGATCCATCACTGTAAACTTTGAGCACCCCTCGACACTCGTCAACCTCCACTTTCGCCATGGTAGTAGGACTGACTGGAGTGGGTTTCTGTTGAATTTGCTTTTATGGAAAAGTTCTAGAAGATGAAAACAATACAAAAGACAAGAAAAAGATGGCGTAAATTCTTCATATTCGTTTGTCGGTTACGTATGACATATTTATTCTCAATTACGTGCCAAATATGAGGTCTTTAAAGCCGGCCGTTTATGCTTTTTTATACCTAACCTAACCCAAAACAATACGACAAAAACACTACTATATTCCTATATGAATATCTTGTGTTTTGTTGGTTGGTTGGTTGGTTTTAGAATCAAAAGATGATGACAAATAGTATATTAAGCAAAGAACAAGAGAAGACATTACATATAATATATGATCCTTTTCCATTTGGCAAAACAATATACAGAAACAAGAGAAGACAAACGCTATCTGCTATTTAAGAAAAAAAAAAAAAAAAAAAAAAAAAACTTACATACTTGAAAGACAATAACTACTAGTAACAAGTCAGCCACGGTTAATAACATCAACCAGAAGACACAATTGTCTTATCTGCCCCTGATGTTACTTACTACAAGTCTCCATTCGGTTTCAAATAAGAACTTGAACGTAAAAGACCAAGAACAGGGGACAAAAACCGTCGTTATCTCATGCAATGTTATCAATGATCCCGTTTTTCTTATTCACCTTTCCCAAAAGTTAAATTATGCTCTCTCTAATCAACTCTACTTATTCTTTTTCATAGGTGGTGCCATATGTTTCTTTCTTTCTTACATTGAACCAAAGTTCAAATTCTCCCACTTAAACGGAGCAACCAAACCGATATTGGGGGCCCCACGAAGGAACAAACACACACATACACAAACCGCAGCTATTGCAAGCATGGAGTGGATATACGGACGATGAAGCAACCCTTGTGAACCCGGGATTCTTCTCGGGTGTTTTGCTCTTACAATTGCGCATTTTGAACAAGATTTTGTGCCCACGTGATGATCCCTCACTCTGAAACTAAGCTCATGGTGGTCAACATGGTCAACCCTCCTTGCGGTTTGAAGCTCTATCTCGTTTGAGATATGTACAGAGACTTGACCCGCTATCCTGTTTGCAAGTTTTTGTGCCACTAAAGTGTTGTATGAGTTGTTGTTTCTCATGGTCGCGTATACAAATGGTGACAGCCCGTTTGCATCCAAGGAAGAATTCCAGCTCAGCAACCCAACCTAAGATATACCAAAAACTAATCATTAACACTTACTCTTTTAACCACAATCACCAATAGAGGAAAATGGGAATAATAATAAAGAAAAATATAATACCTCATTCGGGTCGTTTGTCAAGGCATCAACCATTTCATCCGAATCACTAGTGCAAGCAGCCAAATGCAAGGGGGTGATGCCGCCGGGTCCCGCTAGATTTGGCGGGAAAATGTACTTTCTGGAAGCAGCAGCAGAATCCGTATCTGTGTCCCCAACTACTGAATAATGTATGAGCAAATCCACCATGTTTTTGCATTTTCTCTTAACAGCCCGGTTTAAAAGGTTAATTGCATATAGCATCTCCATTGATGAATCATCTTCTGTAATGCCCCCGGAGCCTTTTTGAAGAAGAATCCCTAAAAGAGTTTTCACTAAACCACACAGATCTCTTTCAACCGAGAACACAAGAAGGAATTTGAATCGAGTGAGACTATAATGAGATCCGGATCCACCATTTTTTTTTTGGAAAAGCCATCCAAGCTCATTTAAAAAGTGTATGGTTTCCTTCACCAAACTTGGTTGCCTATTTTGGACCTCACCAAATTCAGCCTCCAAAAGGTTCAATTCTTGGCAGAGTGTAGAATCCGCAATGATTATAGGAAAACTCGTACCTCTGAAACCGTTTTCGATCTGTTCATATGATTCAAAAGATAAGTCTCTGATGAAGATCCATAATATTGTTATATATAAATAAATATACCTCGATGAAACATCGACCACGTTCACTAGGTGCACAAATTGTGAACCTACGTGTGCTAATTTCCTCATATGTAGAACCTTGATCTGTTGATTCTGTTGCTTCCTCCAGTATACATCCATCCGCATGTGTGCAATAGATTCTGCGATACAACATGACATTCATTTTTCTTTAACATTTTCACTCTGTGTTAATAATTTGAGCTTAATTTAGTATAGGAATAGGTACAGACTTGGTGCCAGGTGTCCTTAGGTTTCGGCCTCTTAGGACAAAAGAAGTCTCCTTTCCAGATACAACAGCTAGAGGTGAAATGGAAATCAACTGTGGTGAACTCCATGCTTTCAAAGATTTGAACAAATGGACCTTGCCTGATAAATATCATAACATGAAAGATTTAGACAAATGAACGATAATATAAGTGTAAAACAAGATATAATAACACGACTGATGACTCACCATCTTTATGTGAAGCTATTTGCTTTTCTGTATGTGCTAAGAATCTTCCGGTTCCCCAGAAATCAGTACCAGATTCTTGAACAAGAGCATTGATATACTGAAGAAAGTTTTCTTCAAGCTGCAAGAAAAATCACAGCTCGGTAAAAACCCTAAAAAGAAGAGAAAGATCACTGCTTTAATAACTAACAACTAATTTACTCACTTGATCCCAAGAAGACGATGACATGGACAAATAAATTGAGAGAACCACACAACCAGGCTTTATGTATCCTTCCATCTCTGATGGACTTTGAGAAAGCCAATTGTAAACCTAAAATCAAGAAACCAAAACCATGTTAAAATAGAGCAAGAATTTTCTAATTTCTAATTAGCAAGTCAAAATGACCAAAACGCCCCTTCTCACCTGTGTCCGTAGTGACCCAGGCAAATGACTCGGATCCTTGTCAAACAGTTTAAACGATAATCGCCCGGTTCGATCCTATAAAAAAAACACCAAATTAGACTTGCACATAAAGAAAAGATTCATAAATGTATTGATTGTGTAACAACCTGAGGATCAGAATTTAAGCTGGAAGGTGATTGGTCAGAACCAGATGATGACGTGTACCCAGCTCTGTAAGGTGAGCTTTGAATGGAAACATTATCAGCACCGTTATTCATCCCTCCAAAAAGCTCCAGAGACATGGTGGCTTTAACATTTGCAGTAACTTCACCACTAGTAGACATACTTTCAGGCTTCATTCTCTCTCTTGAAGCTTTTGTTGGGAAAAGCCTTTGCACGACAGGTGGCGAAGATGATGGTGACCTGTCTTCCATTGGATTACTACTGTCAGATGAGAAATACTTCCTGCTTGATGCTAGCTTAGGTGGACTATCATCTTCAGGTGAAGAACTGAACAGCTGTAACTGTAAATTAAGAGGTGTGTCCATCACTTGACAATCTGAATCCTCACGAGACTGAAAACTAGTGCTGCTTCTCTCTCCTCCAGAATGAACCATGGTTTGGTTAACACAACCAGAGTTAGTCTTGTTCTTATCAGCCTCAATCACTTGGTTCCTTTTTTGTGACAATGGTTCAGGTGCATCCGAAGAGCCTGAAAGAACACCAAGAAAGTCCATTGTCGATGAACTGGTTTTTTTGTTGACTTTTTGAACCTCGGAAGAGGTTTTCTCTTGGTCAACATTAGTCAAGCTTCCAGGAACTGGTTGCTTTGACCCTGGGTCAACCGGTAAAGGCAAAGAGTTTATTTTGTTGAGAATTTGCATAAGCTGATCTTTATTAGGTAATGGTGAAGAATTCCTGCTCATGTCCTCTGCATTTCCTAATATTTTTAAGAACAAATATCAGGGTACTGAAAGTTTAAAGTTAAACAGGAGGTGTATAACCGTATAAATAATGTTACCTTGAGCACGAGCTAAAACTGTTAGCAAACCAACAATATCCATGTCATTGGCGCCATTTTTATCACCATTTCCAGGGATTAATAACTGTGAAGCAACATCTTCTGGCTGTGTCTTTCTTCTTCGCCTGTTGTGACCTGCAAGTCTACGCCTACAGCTTCTCTTCCCCTCGTCAAACTCAGAAAGAGGGTGGAACCTAGAAACAAGTTTGTGAAAAGGGTGTGTTAGTCATTTAGCGCAAAGGTTTCAAGAAACAGAAAGTGATGGGTTGAAGAATCAACCAACCTGCTACACTGTTGACAGAATCTTTGCATCTGTTTTCCAACTAGGGCTTTTCCAGCTTTACTATGAACCTCACAAACCTTGTGACGCCTATGGTAGTCTTTAGCAGTGGATAGATCTTCTTTGCAGTTATCAACTTGACACATTGGATAATTCCCGGCACAACCACTACCAGGTGAACCAGATCGGACCCTTTTGCTAGGCCTGGTCGCTGCCTCCTCGCCACCACCAAGCTTCAACAAGAGGCGTTCGTCTTCTTCCCTTTGACCAACTGGACTCCTCTTTGACCCATCGGGATTGGGAGGATTAACAGCAGTTTGATGATGGTGTTGTTGTTGTTGTTGTTGTTGCTGTTCTCTAGAAATCTCCATCATATCCAAGGGTTTAGCCACGAGTCTTGAACTATCCCATTCCCAATTTTTAGGGTTCCAACTGTTCCGTGGCTCATTTAAAGTTGGGATTAACCTTTGTAGATACTGTTGTTGTTGCTGATGTTGAATAAGGTTTGGGTTTTGATACGGCAGGCTTCGTTTCTTGGCCATCGGATGGGCATCGGGAAATCTTCCGGCACCGATTGTGTTGTACATATATAAAGGAGGAGCTAGTTGAGTACCAACCTCTTCCATTTTTTCCACCAAATAAAGTATCCGAATTCCTATAAAATTCGGAGCTTCTCAGAATCACTTGCTAAAGAATAAAATAATCAACGCTATTTTGATCCGATGAAATACTCCTATTTCCCCTCTTTTATTCCACAAACTGAATCAAACCTCCCAAATTTGATGTTTCCCATTTTTTTTCAAATGTTTTTGAGCTGCTCCTACGATAATTCGAAACTAGCTTAGCTATAAACATACAGAAAATTAAAAAAAGGAACAAATATAGGTCAAAAAATACCAACCTCTACGAGTTCATAACACCCTGATCAAAAATCCAGTGAGGGGTTTCTACAAAGAGGTGAGGATTGGATCTAACAGAAACTTGATGATGAATTCGAAGAAGAGACGCCCAGATCTGGAAGAGAGAGCAAATAGATCTGATGATAAAAGAAGATGTGAAAAGGGTGGTGGAGTCAATTGGAAGGTGTAGTCGTACGAGTCGAATGGGGTTTGTTTTTTAGTTTATGATTATCTCCTTTTTTTCTTCATAAGGGCAAGAAAAACGTCAGTAATAAATTTCACCTTATTACTCTCTCTCTCTCTATCTGTACTTTTTCTCCACTCGTTTACAGTGAAGATGATGTTTGAGACTTGAGTGGTACAAAACCTAACCTCCCCCTTCTCGACTTCTTAAAAACCCTCAACCCTATTGTATTAAAATCGAAAAATATAAAAGGTGAAATATTTTTAAATCAATACAAAGTTTATTATTTAAAATGATCAAAATTATAGGTTTGTTATTACATATCCTATCAATAGCGCGCTAGTGGTGCTATAGCGTTTCGCGGTGATACAGAACCATTCAAATAGTGTTAGCGCTATTAGCGATACTATTTATCACAAACCTCATCACCGCTATACATGAATTTATACTTTCGTTCACATTTTGGTCATTTTGGTTATTTTGTCAAAGAAAAAAAATCAATTGTGAGCTACTTCAAGTTAAATCTCTTTTTAATGAGTCACTATATTTGCATTTTAATAAGCCCAATTAACAAACCTTACTAACTACAAAGCAAAAAGTATTTAAAGCAAAGAACGACATGTAACATCTTTCTTGTCTCTTTTTTTCCTGCTTGGAAACCATGATGATTTAAGTTGCGATGATCTACTTACACATGTGAATCTTTAAATGGTAATTGATTTAATGTTAAATGTTTCTCTTTCAGTGTTTCACACTTATAAACTCGTTAATTTGTGATTCTTTGATTTAGTCCTTATCATTTACCAAGTATTACCTCACATAGTCACAGAGAACTCACTATTAATATATGAAGTTATGATCTTATATAACTTTTTAGTTTTAATGATATCAATTCTATATAAACTTATAGTATTAATACACTACTATATAGATTCTATATAAATATATAACATAAAATTAAAATTATATATAATATTAGGGTTGTTATATCAATGTTATACCACACTGATGACTATAATTTCAAATAGCGTTCTGTGGTCGCTATTGAAATTTTAATCACGGTAACTACATAGACTATTACCTTTAATTATTGTTTTAATATTAATAATTATAATAAATGGTTGTTATCGCGTAATATAATATTTTGGTAAGTTGTCATATCTTTTCTCAGATTCTAACAAAACTAATCGAACACTTGTATGTTGCCCAAGAAAAAAATTATATATATATATATATATATATATATATATATATATATATATATATATATAGTTGAATATAATTAATATGATAAAGAGATGTTTATTAGAAAGTTCGACAGTTAAGTATTTTTAAACCCAATTAATTTAAGAACTACTTAATTGTTTATTTATTCAATTTCTTCAAACATATTTATTTGAAACTCCCATAACTATAAAATTCGAATCCTGAAGGTACGAAAATTAAGCTAATATGGATTTCAAGGTGGTCACGGCGTGAGGGAAGCACCGTCACGACATGACACAGCAGCGTTACGCGGGAAGGGTCAATTAAGTGTCACGACGTGACACTTGATCAAATGTAAAACCTTAAATTCGAAGTTGGACCCTATTTAAAGGTAGTGAGGGGCTAAGGTTTCCTTCACCGTCATCTTTCATCACCTTTAAACCTGTAAAAGAAAAACCCTATGTAACACCCTGTTTCGAATCATTTCATAATTCAGGGTCGTGATCCAGAGACCGATTATCATAAGGCTTAGTGTAACGTCTGTGTTTCTAGGCTAGACTTTAATGATGGTGTAATAGTCTATGTCAACCTTTGTAATTTGTTTTAAGATAATAAGAGGTATTATTTGAGTATTATGTGTTTTATACTTAATTATTATAATTTAATGAATTAAGGATAAAAATAAACGTCGAAAATAAATGTTAGATAAAGTGGATATCTATGAAGAAAGTTGTAGTGGTTGAAACAAGGATTCCGGGGATATAAAATACCAAAATCCGAGTTATAATGAGAAAGTTATGACCTGTTGAAGTTTCGCGACAGAACCGACACGACGTTGTATGACGTAAAAAGTGAAGACTCTTCATTTTTATAACCCTTTGTGTTCTTTTAATGGTTTTTATTAAAGTGTGACCTTTGGATTTCCATAACTTGAGGACAAATTATGGACTCCATTAAAACACATAATGATCATGAATTTAAACTACCAAATAGGTTACAAACAATTTCTATGATCATCTAAGCTTCATAAGTTCAAGAACATGAATATGAACATTTCAAGAATCATAAAATACTCATAAAACTTGTAATTTTGATAATAGCCATTGTAAATGGATTAACATAAACATTACACCATCTAAAACAAGTTTTATAACACCAAAACAGTTTAGGGTAATGTTTCTAGTCCATTTTTAGCAGCAAAACACGAGAAACTGCATTCTACAAGCTAAACTTGTCGAGTTCCCTAAGGAACCCGTCGAGTTCATGTGGTAACTCATGAACTCGACGAGTTTTTGGCCAGAACTCGTCGAGTTTTGCAATCTATACATTTTTAGTTTTAAAAAAAAAAACAACTTTTGCATCAAGTATCATACAAACAAGCCTAGGCTCTTATATCACTGATGGGTTTTGAACATTATAACACTCCTATGGTGTACATGCAACCCTATAAACCTTGGATCTATGTTTGACTATGGTACATGTAAATAATTATTTTTCCAAGGTTCTTATCCTATCTAGCATGGCATGGGGAACTTGAATCATATAAAGCTAGTAGAATCACTTACCTTGTAGTTGTAGTTGATTGCTTGGAGTTTTAGAGCCTAGCACCAATAGTGTGCATGCCTCAAATGGAAATCACAAATCGCCACAAACTTTGGAACTTAAAGAGAATAGTAACCCTTATTGAAATCGGCCCTCTTACTTTACTCACCACAACTAGTGTGATTTTAAGAACCAAAGCCTCATTTATACAGTGTGATGGATTAGAGTTACATCCATGTAAACCCTAATACTCATGTCTTTTCATTTTCATGAGATCCATGGGTTAAAGCTCCATGGAGTATCCATGGACTTTCCAAGCAAGCCTATCCCATTCCAAATAAGCATTAACCCACACTATATAAATATAAGAGCTCATATTTAATTAGTAATGCTTTTGATCTCTAAATTAATTCTAGATTATAGATCAATACTAATTAAATAATATGATTTTATATTAATATATTAGAACTTATAATATATTAATAAATCATAACTTATACTATTCTCAAGAGATTATCCATAAATTTTTCGGGTGAAGTGCAACCCAAATGGACCATGCCGGATCGGGTCAAGTACATACCAAATATAGTTATGGACTTAGATACTATATCCAACAATAAAACCCTTCAAAGTATGTCCAACGTACCTCATATACGCCCAGTGTACGAGGTCGTTAAGAAAAATAAATGAGAAATAAATAACTAAGGAATTTACCTGCCATATCGGGCGTTGAATGTGGAGCCTTGATTTGCAGGGATTAAGCTCTTAATGAAGAAATAAGTCATATGCTAGTAACCACAGTGTGGCCAAGGAGGGCCCACGACATGGTGGAGATCTGATTGATAATTGTTTTGTCCTTACATGCCCATGATGTGGCCAAATAGGGCCTATCATGTAGTAATGTACTGCATATCGACCGTTATGTTTTGACAATCCTGCGACGTGTCTAAGAGGTCTCCAAGTCATGGTGGCTGTTGACTTTTGACCAGTTTGACCTTGCGTCAAACTTGAAGGATTTGGGTTGTTGATTGAGGATTGATATTTGTTTGGTGCTAGTCAGCTTGCGGGATTGATCAGTGCAAGGAGTAAGAGTGTTGTTGTTTTACTCTGGTTTCTACGATTCAGGTGAGTTTTCTCACTATTCAACGTATACCATTGTATATACTTTGTATGTTAAGGTAGTGGTACTATTAGAGTATGAGTATGATAGTTGACTAAGATAACTACTTGCTATGTATATGTAGTTTAGGAAACTTGGTATTATGATATGCTAGACTGGTAGGGTCTTGCTTGTTGATCGTATGACACTGTTAGGAGTTATGTTTGGTTAGGATAACTTGGGAAGGCCAATTACCAAGGTTTGTATTATTGATTAGTGAGGGACTTAATTGAGACGTGATCAATGACATTATAACAAGGGGTGGCTAATTACAAATTGTATGTAATATGCTAGTATATGTTATGTGTTTATGTTGCATGATTATGTGATAATAGTAGTATTGGTTCTATGTAGTTTAAGTTTGATAGCCTGATAAATCTTGTTATAAAGCCTTATTGCATGGTTCTTGTTTGATCCATTGCTTTATGGTGGACCATCTGTTCGACTGTTTATCTAATCCCTTACTGTATAGGACGTTTTGAATTGTATGGAAGACCAAGATATGGCTCCTGGAAATTGTATGAAAAAACAGAATATGGCCCTGTAATTGTATGAAAGGTTAGGATTTGGCCCCTGACAATTGTATGAAAGACCAGGTTCTGGTCCTTAACACTTATATGAAGATTAGGATTTGTCCCCTGACAATGGCAAGGAAAAACGATGATTTGGCCGATGGCAAGATGTGAATTTAAGACTATGATTTGTCCCATAACATTCACTTGGGATTGGAGTAGACCCATCAATTCATATATGATTGTTATGTATGTTATATGCATGATAAGGGAGTTTCGAGGTCGACGCTATAGCAAAAAATTATGTGGATGCATTGTATATATGCTAAAATATGTGGTAGACTAGGGAACTCACTAAGCTTTATGCTTACAGTTGTGGATTAAATGTTTTGCAGGTTGTTCGTGAGAAGAGCTCGACGGGACTATACCCACACATTGAAGATAATGATTTTTGCTTTCTTGTAATTTAGCTATGATAATACTATGGTTTCAAACAAATGAATGTCACTTATGGTTGAAGGTTTTGATTGGTTAATCTATTTTCAAATAAAAAATCTCTTTGTAATTTTTGGGACGTTATAATTTCAAAGATTTCTGAAAATCTTGTAATTTGTGCCGCAGTAATCTGCCACACTTCGATTTAATTCTACCTAAAAAAGCTATAAATTAAGCCGATTTTTGTAAAAAACATAAGAGTATGAGAAAAGAAGAAGAATACACAAAAAGATCTGAAGTGAAAAGGTATGTT